CCGCGGGTGCTATTCATATGGTAATCATCCACGAGAAACGCGCGAATCTGTAAACACATCACCACCGTAAACAAAGAAGCAAGATTCATTTTTAGCATTCAAATATGCACTATGTGTTCATCAATACTGTTTTCAAATGTTATCAGAACCGTTTTCAATTTATTAAGGTTTTTTCTGTCTTTAACGCGCCCACAGTTAAGCCAGCATACACATAAACCCTACACTCAGCAAGCAATGTTGTATATAAAACACTGTGTAGGCACATTTAAAGATACATTTTTCATTGTTAGGCAGGTTTATACTAAGAAAGTTTTAGAAATGGATTAAATCTTTGTCAAGTTGCTGTTTTCATACCTTTGTAATATTTTTCAGTCAATATTAAATTACTGAAAGAACTACAATTTTCACAATTTTAGGTTTGATATGTTTTCAAAGTAACTTGAAAGTAAAGTAATTAGTAAGTAACTTGAAAGTAAAGTAATTAGTAATCTGATTACAATTTTCAAGTAGTAATAAGTAATTTGTAATCAATTACTTTTTTGAGTAACTTGCTCAACACTGTTGAGGAATACTAAGAAAGTTGATGTCTAACTTTAAAAAATGAAGGAGGAAGAGGGTAGTGAATGACGTCCTGGGTCACTAAAGACCCAAGGTATGCATTTAAGGGTTAATGTAGCCTTGGTGAGCATAAGAGACATCCTTCAAAATATCTAAAAATCTCACCTAACCTTCAAACTCTTGAACGGATGGTACTTTTCTTCAGTGGAATGCAAAAAAAGACCTCTCGCAGAATATCCTAGCAGCTCTTGTCCACAGAATCAAAGCAGACAGTCACCAAGGAGCTGTCAAGCTACAAACAGCACTATAAAAGTAGTCCAGTCGCATGGCATCTTTCAGTGAGGATCAAACTGAAACGTATGTCATTATTCACTGAAAATCGTTATTCAAATCAGTGACACTGAGCATCGGTTCACACATGCCTTTTAACCAAAAATAACATGCTGAGTTTGAATATATGGAAGTGCAAATGAAATTTGAGAATTATGGTGCAGCGCCAGATTACATAAGATTATAGTATGCTAGGTTTGCCAAAGCTAAATAACGGTTTTATTTTTTAAAATGTTATTTATTCCTGTCATGACAAAGCTGAAAGCTTTATCATATGAATCATATGAATAAATAGGTTTCAAATATATTAAAATTAAAACTGTTAAACAGTTATTTTAAATTGTAATATTTAACATTTTTACTGTTTTACTGTATTTTTCATCAAATAAATGCAGCTTTGATGAGAATTATTTCAAAAACATGAATCTTACCAACCCCAAACTTTTGAACAAAAATGTATAATATTAAAAACTAATATTAATTTTAAAATGTTATTTTATTGTAGTTAGTTTTCAAACTCATTTTGGTGTAGTTTTTCCCCAGTTACAGTAATTTTTATTTTTATTTATGTTAATAAAAATGTTTTTTATTTAGTTTTAGCTTGGACATACTTAAAAGTGTCATATAGGTTTGAAACAACATGAGTGAGTAAAAACTTTTGAAATTCTGTCAGTGTTCAAACTGTCTCTTTTGGTTTCCAAATGTCCCTTCTCCATTTTAACTCCTCATTCATTCACTTGTTTTTTCAGTTGTTCATTTGCTCTGTAATCCATTCATTTTTTTCCTCCGTTTCCATTCTGCTGTTGGGCCTGATTCTGTTCGGTCTGAAATCTCTCCCCTGCACGCCGTTGCATAGCAACACTCATTCATGGCAGAGGAAGTCCCTCACGTGAGGGAATGGCATCACACATGTTGATCTCAAAGTCTTTTTATAGAAACCCTCACGTGAGCTCGTGCTTTTCTCCCTTTTGCATTTTGCGTCTCATCTACCCCGTTCCCCTCTCTCAGCCATGCACGCACTTTAAACCGAATGAAAAACAAAGCAATTTCCTCTGCTGGAGCAATTCCCTTAAGCTTTCAGAATGAATGAAACGTGTGCTTTTTGTCAATTAGGAAACTCAGGAAATGGTGCTTCTGAAGTTCAAGCCTGACGTTCCTCCCCCTGTAAGCAAGCCCTCGCTGGAACAGCTTTCCCACCTCATAAAGACCTGTCTCCACTACCCAGAGTCTTATGATCATCCCTTCCCACAAAAGAGGTAAAGCGCACACAAACAAACACTTTTGAAAAGCTCAAAGAGACCTGAATCGGTTAGCCGAAATCCGCTGACTGTGTTTCCAAGGTGACAAGACTCACACAGACGTACGCTAATGTTCACATGCCCAGTGACGCCCACAGGGAGCGCTTGTCTGGCCTAGTTCTGCAATGGTGAGTGGAAAGTAGGTGTGTCCATGTGAAAGATGGAGATAAACTGGACCGCGTCGAGCTGATGCGTTTCCTAAAGCGCTCAGTCATCACTCATATCCTTGGGTTTGTGTGAATGTGCTCTCATAAATTTGTTTGTTCTGAGGAACAAAGGCCAGTCCTCAGTCGACAGCTAGAAAACTCACTGAAATGCGAAACACATTGTCACCGTTCTAAAAGCACACAATCAACGCGAACAAACCACATTAAGGTTGACATGAATTGGAAATTCTCCCTATTTTCGAAATCCATCTTATTGATCTTATTGCAAACTATTTATCCATGCGTTTCATATTTTGACCTAGCAATATTTAATCCAAATGTCATAACTGGATCTTCCTTGTGAAATCAATAGACTTCTCCAACCATTTAGTTTGCTTAAACTCCGCCCCTTTCTTACAGTCAGCCTCAAGTTTACATTCAGATCTGCCTCCATCCAATCAAAAACCAATGGATAGAACCACATCCCTCCCTACATTTTTACATTTCTTTTTCGATACTAGGATTTACATCAGTACAGTAGAAAAGATGTCGCTATTTCAATTACATCGCAACTTTAAACACTGATGCAAGAAATCAGTGGTGGTAATGAGGTGCAAACTGCAAAACAAAGGTCTAGTTAACAGGCCGTTTGAGGAATGCAATCATAACGACCCTAACAAACTGTCTTAATCAGATTTGACAAACTGCCAAGTGCTAAAATCTCTTGCCTGTCTAGTTTTTGTCCTTACTGATCACAAGCTTTAGGACATTTTGTTGATTTGTTGCACTTGGTGTAACGGGGGTATTTAGCCCGTTGTGTAGGGGAAATGGATTACGGCTGCCCTGGAAGTTTGGACAACGAAAGGATCTTGGTCCCCGCTCCCCAAACTTTTTAGTCTCGTTACACACTAACGTGTGTATGTGGTTTCTTACCTTATTGTGTTGGAACACTACTGATTGACAAGGGTAGGCTTCAGGTATGGTAACGTTACACGGTGGCTTCCTGAAGTGAAATTGCATACATGAGAGTACAGTGTGATATGCTCCTCCCTCCCCAGATCTAATAAAGTAAGTGAGACTCCCCCACTCCCTGACAGCTCTCAACAGAAAGGTACACTGTAGATAAGTGCAAAAAGGAATTAAACAGAATTTATTATTTTACATTTATTTTTCTTATGAATAATTATTTCTTGTTTGAGTAATCGATTAAATGAAAATCATAAAAAGAATTTAGTCTTTGTGCCGTCTTTTCAAATCCACACAATCACCTTCAACACAACAGTTGACAACTTTTCACTTGTGGTATAACAAATCCCTTATGATACTTCGAAATGAGATCACTTGCAATTTGTCAATTGGTAAACCCACAAATTCTCACCTTTCCAAACGATCATCTTCAAACAATCACATTTGAAAACAACAAAAAAAACAAAGCATACACAATTAAATCTCACCTCAGAATGAGCACTTATATGAAACGTCCCTTCAAATGTTTACTCACAGTTCACGAGTTACTCACAGTTACTCAAGTTCCATAGTCCACTTGAATTACCACAGTTCCGTGTTTTTCAGTTCAGTCACTAAAAAAACGGAAAAAATGAGAGGAATACCATAGAACGATGAATTAGAGGGCGTTGACTGGACGTAGAGTGCGTTGAAATAAACTGAAGATCAAGTAGTTTTAAGTGTGTAAGTTCAAAAATTCACTCAGTCTTGTAAAAATATCCCACAGATAAACTGTCTCAAAAAGCATCAAACTGAGATGAATCAACCTGAGATGTCACTTGGATGGCAGGGTAGCAACACAATCTTCAAACTTGAATCGGCGGAAAAGTTAAGTCTCTGCATTAACTGCATTATACAGCGATCTCGGTCTCACGTGCTCTGACACGTGCGGGAAACTTAATTGCACGTGAATGGTCCCGTTGAAATGTTAGCTCTTGGCGCTGCTTTTCAATCAAAACACCAGAGGTGCAAAATGCAGCAAAAGTACATGCAACAAGTCACTTGATGACAAAAATCAAGCAGGGTTTTCACTTTAAGCGTACTCACAGCTTCCGTGGCCTTCGATATGTTACTGCGTCATTTTAACAGCCAACACATACCACTAGAACAAAACTGAAAAAAACTCCTTTCTGCTATGAACTGCGGTTCACTGTCCACACTTTCACTTAGTGCTGTCGTCCTTTATTCGACTTAAGCCTCGATAATCTTCCGTTGAAGCAACTTTATCGAACGAGCTTCTCGATCACAACACTGCACTCACTTCTGTGTGTGACACACTCATACACCGCGCTCTTCCAGTGAAATCAGGGAGCTTCCGGTCTCTAGGGATATAAATGGCAGCTGGGGTGGTTTGCGCAGAGGCCTGGCTCTCAATTACCACCTTTGCTAAGGATAGGGCTTCTCTCTGCTCCGCCCTGGATTGGTCAAGTGCCCCTGCCTGCTCGGCAAACCTCCTCTGCATCTCTGCCATCTCTTTTTTTAGTTCCTCCAGTTCAGACATCTTCTTACTTGACAACAAACAACTTGTGGGCCTGGAGACATGTGACTACTTAAATGTGCCTAATTCGATCCTGTTTGTGACGCCGCTTTTGTAACGGGGGTATTTAGCCCGTTGTGTAGGGGAAATGGATTACGGCTGCCCTGGAAGTTTGGACAACGAAAGGATCTTGGTCCCCGCTCCCCAAACTTTTTAGTCTCGTTACACACTAACGTGTGTATGTGGTTTCTTACCTTATTGTGTTGGAACACTACTGATTGACAAGGGTAGGCTTCAGGTATGGTAACGTTACACGGTGGCTTCCTGAAGTGAAACTGCATACACGAGAGTACAGTGTGATATGCTTCTCCCTCCCCAGATCTAATAAAGTGAGACTCCCCCACTCCGACAGCTCTCAACAGAAAGGTACACTGTAGATAAGTGCAAAAAGGAATTAAACAGAATTTATTATTTTACATTTATTTTTCTTATGAATAATTATTTCTTGTTTGAGTAATCGATTAAATGAAAATCATAAAAAGAATTTAGTCTTTGTGCCGTCTTTTCAAATCCACACAATCACCTTCAACACAACAGTTGAAAACTTTTCACTTGTGGTATAACAAATCCCTTATGAAACTTCAAAATGAGATCACTTGCAATTTGTCAATTGGTAAACCCACAAATTCTCACCTTTTCAAATGATCACCTTCAAACAATCACATTTGAAAAAAGTGGCCTTCGATATGTTACTGCGTCATTTTAACAGCCAACACATACCACTACAACAAAACTGAAAAAAACTCCTTTCTGCTATGAACTGCGGTTCACTGTCCACACTTTCACTTTGTGCTGTCGTCCTTTATTCGACTTAAGCCTCGATAATCTTTTATCGAACGAGCTTCTCGATCACAACACTGCACTCACTTCTGTGTGTGACACACTCATACACCGCGCTCTTCTTCGTCTCTCCCTGCTGCACTTGCAGCACGCGCAAAAAGCGGACCACTCGCCAAAATAAAAGTATCCCAAAGATAATCTCTTTTCAAAATAATATACCCGTTACATTGGCTTGTAGCTGGATGTGTTGTATCCGGTCAGGACAACACACTAGCTATAAAAAAATTAAAAGTTGATATAAAATTAAAGTTTAATAATAACTTAAATACTTTATACATCTTAAAGTTGTGATGAAAATGAAGCAGCGACAGATCCTTTCTTCCATATTGTGACGTACATCAGAGTGTAACAGATGATTGGAAAATAAGAAAAGGGGGAAATTGGTTATATTGATCCGGTTGTTGATTTGATTTTGAGATGTGGCTGTTGCAATCAAAAATTAGCCCAAGCTTGCAGTCGATTGTGGAGGGACGAGGGACTAAATGATTATTGAAGTCTGACATTCATCATCTGAAGTCTGTAATTTTTACCAGAAAAACATAGTTGTGACATTTTGTTACAAGGTAAAAAAAAAAAAAGAAACCGATACATGAATAAGTTATGCAAAATAACATGCATTTACATAATAGGGTTTATTTTAATTTCATGACAACTTTAAATGTTTAAAGTCATTTTTTAAATCACTGGAAATTATTTTATTTACTGTGATTTTAATTTTAGGATATTAGAATTTGGGAACAGTATCGAAAACCTTAAACCAGGTCAAACACGTCTTACTGTGCAACAGCACAGCCATACAGAGCTTAAATTAACCAGGAAATTGAACCAAACATCTTGTAGCATGAGGAGATGAATGTTCCAGAGTCAGGGGTTAGTCCATCCATATTTGTGCTTCAGGACAAATGACTTAAAGTTGCTGCACACCACAGTATGGGATTAACAGACGTTATGAGACCCATTGATCAAAGTAATATCCAGATGAAAGTCGAGTGCTCTATTTTACATAGCAAAATTGAATAATCTATTTTTTTCTGGCTTGAAAACTTGGGCGCATGTTTGAGTTCCAATGCAAGGTCATGAAGAGATGCAAGTACTGATGTTTTCTATTTTAACTGAAGAATAGACTGTTTGATTTCGGTTTGCATTGCGTCAAGAGGAGAAATTTCAAGAATTAGACCTGTCTGAACTAGAGGTCTTCTCGGGCCCTAAAATCTGTACCTGACCCGAATCACTTCTTACCCAAACCCGACGTGCATAAATTAATTTTTTTTAAAGAAAAACCCAACCTGAGACAGACCCGATGAAATTAATTCAGAGTCCGACAGCATTTATTTTCGAACCCAAACATAAACGGCATTGACGTGTACACAGCCTGCAGTCCCGCACTCAGTAAAGAAAAATCCCGGTGTCCTGCTGACTGATTTGGCCATTTCTCCATTACTTTGATTTATTTAACATTTATTCAATTTATTATTACTTTATATTATTGCCTGCCTGATGGATAGGCTACAAGTTATTTCTGAGTTCAGCTTTAATTGTGACCAGTGGCTTTGAAAAATAAACGTGATAGTTTGATAACAATTAAATCGATAGCCTAATGATTTTCTAGTGTTGTCTGCAACCTAATCTGGCGAAAGGCTTCTACACACAAAAAAGAAAAGCCCTGCATGAACACGCAGCATAATGAAGCGAGTGGATTTTCCTGACGGATCTCATATCGATAAGATGATTTCTGTGTGCGAGGTTACAAACGTATGCTCCTTTTCTATGTGCGTTCCACACTTAACACAAGTACACAGATAGTTTAAAAGAATTCGGGTCTTATCGGGTCCATTTGTAAAAAGCACTTTTATTTTAAATTAACTGAGACCCAAGACCGCTAATACCGAACCCGACCCATGTCCGAGACACTTGTAGAAGTTTTGGACCCAAATCCTCTCGGGTCGGACCTCGGGTTTTCGGATCCAAGTGGACCTGTGAAGACCTCTAGTCTGAACCCCATCTCCAAACAATTGATGTTCTTGACATTTTTTTCCTTCCTTAGTTTATGTACGGTTCCAGTCACCCTGACGTTGTCCAACTGTTCCTTGGCTCAGGTAGACGTCATTGTTGATCTGCGGCATAAAACGACCAGGTACATCTCAGGTTTTCCTGATCCCTAATGTCCAAATCTTCGAAATACAGAAAGCATTTGGACTTCAAAGCAGTCTTATACTCTTGTTGTCTGTCTTTGCAGCCCGGAGTCACTGGAAGTGCATGGGTCTTTTAGCTGGCTGGGCCAGACCCAATATAAGTTGCAGCTCCAGGCTCAAGAGGTGTACAGGCTTTTCTTGAAAGCTTGTTTCTTCCAGGCTGGAGTTTATAATTTGGGCACACCCCGTGTCTTCGCCAAGTTGGCACAGACCAGCGCTATGTGTGAGACCAGCCAGCAGAGCGCCATGCCTGCCCTCATTATCATCAACAGCATTTGAGTAACTCCGCAACGTCGATCCAACCTTTCTTCAAAGTTCTTGGCCCACCTAAATAAATGAAATGGACTGGAATCCAAGATTTTTCTACTACTTGCTAAAACAAAATCTAATTGAGAGAGATAAGTAATTAAAAAGACTTGAACACATGTTTCAAATTAACACTGCATCTGATGTACTTGTATGGTCTGCAATGGTGAGCTAAACACAAACAGACTTTAGATGTTTTGTCTTAAATGCACCTGAAGCGTGACTGGATCTGTTTTGTTTTTTTTCCCATGTTAATTTATCTCTCATGTCAACCATGTATCTTTTGAAGAATTTTGCTTTTGTTTTATGAAATCTTTTTGTTTTTAGAACTAATTTTTTCAAGATCCCAAACATGTGGTAATGTAAATGGCTATGCATCTCTGCCTCATACTGCCCTGCCGGCTATCTCACGGTTGTCCACTGTGCTCTGTTGCCACAGTAACAAAAAAATAACACCATCTTAAAACCAGAAGATGAAACGCAACACTGTAACCTGATGAGCTGCGGTTGATACCATTGCAGCTGTTGAAAGGACAACATATTTCTGCCTTGTTCAGGCAGGCTGCAGATGTGGCGTTAAATTGAACTTAATATCACCTTGAGAAAAGCCAGTGGAATTGGTGAAGTCCAACAAGGAGCCATCTTAATGTTCGTGCCCCAGTGAGGAAATGGCCGAATCCATGTTGCCCAGTCAAACAGCATAGACTTTTAAGGACCTGTAAGGACACCAAAAGGGGTAAAAGTCAGTCTGAGGGCATATTTCTGTTTGTGCGTCTTTGTGTGGGTGGACTGTGCTGTTTTCTCCGGAGATGTTTAATTTTCTACAAACCAATCATCCTCTCCCACCACCTCAGCTCTCATTCTGTCATCTCCACTACTATGATCAAACTGTTATTTAAATGTATCCACATGACTGCTTTTCTGAAAAAAATGATGTATTATATTTATAACAAATTACTGTACATAGAATAAAATGTAACCAGTAACCAAGAACCCGGCTGCCTGTTGTCTTAGTCGTTTGATTTATTTTAGAAATTGAATTTGCTATATTTATTGAGCAAGTACCATCTACTAATTGCAACACACAGGTGTATTCTCTAATATGCAGTTCCTGGGAAACATGTTATTGAACATGCTGTGGCAAATGATGAATGTGAGGATTTTAATTAGTTTTTAATAATAGTATTTTTCTTTGTGTGCCTGGCTATTTGGTTCTTACATTTTTTAACAAATGCAACACAAAACAGAGTTTCAAAATCTTGCCAGAAATGCCTTTCTTGTCTTCTAAGTCATTCATTCAACACAGCTGGTTCGGTCAGTGGCATTGTGCTTCATGTAAGGTTGGATTGCTGGAGTTAACCACTAGGTTTGTATAAAATGTTATGCGTTTTGTCCCTGAAACAAACAAAAGCTAGCTGGAAAACTCGACATGCTCAACATCATTCTGTTGATGCTGGCAGCTGAAACATCAGTGAAAAGAATGTGATGAATGTCACAGCAATATAGACATAACTGCGCACCCACATATTTGATTTTTTTATACTTCATACTTCATACTTAGTTCTATCAGAAATTAATCTCCCCCCCCCCAAAAAAAAATCTGTTTTTTTATCATGCTATTGTAATAATCAAATGAAATTATCAACTGAGGTTTTAGATTTTGTTTATTTTTTTATTTGTGATTTATTTTATTATTTGTTTGTTTTTTATTACCCACTTTGAAAAACACTCTCAACTATAGTAGTTCCTGTAGCTTTCCCTCTTTCCTGTATTTTCGTGCATATGAATATTCTGATGATAATCAAAATTTGGTGATTTTCTGTGTATGCATCATTAGCATGCAGACATTATACCACATTAACCTAAATGCCATAACCAGATTAAACCAACATTTTTCTTTGTAGAAATCTGAAAACGACAGCTGGTATTTGTCTGTATTAATTTCGTGGCTTGTAAACATTTTATTTTATATACTATTCACCATAATTGAACATTCATTTGTATATGCTTGTGACCAAATGAAGGCCAATCTGGGTGATTAGATAGGCTACAGACAGCTGTGAAAAGTTAAGCTACTTAAACATTTTTGAACGATTGCTTAACTAGCATTAGTTAACTAACATGATTATTTTAATTCACAAGCATTAAAAAAACATAATGGTTTACACAATGGTTGACATAAGTAATTTGTAAAAGTATTCTGAATAGTGTTTACTTAAGTGTTTATATCATTGTAGCAAATACAGGTAACTATTGTTTTCTCTACCCTGTTGAAAAAAACAGCATATGCTGGTTAGGTATGTTAGGTAGGCATATTCAAAAGATGGCGGCGCGTTCACACGCTGCGGCTTCTCTCTCTCCCGACAGAAAGGGGTTTTCGTGTTTTTTGTCTTGTGAATCGCAGTGTTTTTGTACGTAATACAAACATAGTGCAAATTTCTCGCCTGTTTTTATGTTACCAAATATATCCACATAGCCTACGTGTTTTCTGTCCCTTAAGGTGGAAATCAACTCGCTCATACTTTTTGAATCTTACTTTGCTACAAATGCAGCAAATTGCTTTTTTTTTTTTTTCTGTTGGAAAATGTTCAGGTAAATCGTCAACGGTAAAATGACGCTGTAGGGAAGGGAAGGACTGGATGGCTAATAACTGTAGCCCCGCTGCACCTCAGACGAGCTTCCCGCCGCTGGATCATTTCAAAACAATTAAAAGTCAGCCTGTCTTAATTTAGAGTTAAACTATAAAATACAGCAACAAATTATTTTCAGACCTTTTAAACTCAAAAGTACATTTTGTTAACAAATGGTGTGTGGGATTAAATAGGTTAAGATCTCTGATTATCCTGAAGGGTTCAGGAAGTTTTATTCATGAAATGCATTTATTCTGTTCCTTCGCTTTTTTGTTCTCTTCCCCATCCCCATCCCCTACACCTTCCCTTCTGTTTCGTTCCTTTCTTTCCTCTTCTGTCCCTTCCTCCTCTTCATTTCCGTTCTGTTTTTTTTCCATGCCTTCTTTTTTCTCTTTTTCTTTGCTCTGCTTCTTTTAATATTTGCTCATTCTTCTTATATTTGCTAATAATAATTATTCATATCTTCAATTTTAAAAATAAAAAAATGTCTTAAAGCATTAATCGTTTTGCACCTGAACGCTAAACATGCTGTCCCAGTAGAATCCAGATCTAATGTAATGTGTGTTAAAGGCACGAGAGGCTGCATTAGGCTACACAAACACGCGCTGTTGTCAAAGGTCGACGTATTTCCAAACTCACCGTTGTGCGCGTCAGGCGTTCAGTACAACTGCTCTTTTATGGAAAAGGGGGGGGGGG